AAGCTTCAGAATCCTTGACTCCAAGGAGCATTCTGGCTTCACCCTCTCCAGGACAAACCTGTTTGTTCTCCTAGCAGTCCATGGTATATTCAACATTCTTCTCCAGCACCACAGCTAAAAGGCATCAATTATTTTTCTATCATCCCTATTCACTGTCCAACTCTCATGCATAGCACACAATTGTGAAGACTACAGCCTGGATAAGGCGCGCCTTAGTCTCTAGCCTGATGTAGTTGCTCTACAGTACTTAAGAGAGGTCCCTGACAGCTGGCTTGCCCAATGCAATTCATCTCTTGATTTCCTGGCTGCTGGTACCAACAGTGTTGACTAGGGAGCCAAGCAAACTAAAACTGTTAACTATCTCAATCTCTTCACCATCCATACTGATGCTGGCAATGGGTCCAGTGGTGAGACTTTTTTGTTTTCTTAATGTTGAGCTTCAATTCATATTGAAGGCTGCAGTCCTTGACCTTCTCAGCAAGTACTTCAGGTCCTCCCCAGGGTCAGTAAGCAGAGTTGTGTCATCTGCATAACGAAGGCTGTTGATGACTCTTCCACCAATCCTGATGCCACATAGGTATTTTTTAATAGTCATAATCTTGGGGCCAATCCAAAGAGATTCTCAATCAGCAGGCCTGACAGATCACATGAATATGCATTTCCAGCATGTCACTCTAAAACACAACCAAGTCTGGGCATCATTCACTCGGCAGGCAAGTTCCATGATAGTCTCAATACATGTTCTCTTTAGTAGCTTAAGATCAAAATGCTAGCACAGACCAGGACATCTTTGACTAACATTTCTATTTTCTAGGTTTGCTTGCAACTAGTCCTAACCAATAAGACAGGCAGTAAGATCTAAAAGGAAGTTGTTGCTGTTGTTCTGTTCCTTCAAGTGGGAAACTGACCCAGAGCTGACTCCCCAGAGGGTTTGCAGAGGCAGTAAAACACACGGGAGGAAACTGCCCAACCTTCCCCAGGGGAGCAGCTGGGGGCTTTGAACTCCATGCCTTGAAAGGAAGTTGTAAAAATGTTAATGTGTTCTTAAAGGAAGGCAGTGGGCTTCAGTGCTTCTGGACTCCTGGCATCTGAAAGTGGACGACACAGCTGAAGCGTCAACTGCCATTTGGACCATAAGATGGCCTTGGGTATGACAGTCAGGCAAGCTTGGGCCAATGCCAAGAGGAGCCTCCACTCTTGCCACTGAGGAGTTATGTGCCAAGCCCAGAACATGGAAATAACATGCAAACTGGATTTAGGCCACTACTATCTGGGATTAAAAAAAAAATTACAGTGGAATCTACTGTTACTTAATTAACTATTTAAAGGTGGCCTCTAGGTTCTCACATGGCTTACTGCCACTGAAATAAATACTATGTGGCATGAACCTGATTTTATTCCACAATTTCCAGATAAGGATATCAAAACAAGAGAAAGTGATATAATTTGCTCAAGGACACAGAACTGTTGAGCTGGGACCAGTGCCAGGGTTTTAAACTCAAGTGTCCTGGCATCAAAGGCCAGTGGTCTTTGAATTGCGTTATTCTAGGAGAAGGGTCCAAGCATTTCAAAATAGAGTGCAGTGTAGAAACGAGCTAACACAGCTGTTCATCCTTGCGAAGGTCTGTCTGCATGGCTGGCCTCTGGGAAACTGATTTTGGGTGGGTTCTCACCATCATCAAGGAAGATAAACAAGCAGCAGTCCACCGTGTCTAAACAAGCACCATGGTCTCTGCTGGGCACCTGCTTTCCTTCTGGGACTGTAGAATTCTGTACAAGGTAGCAGGGGGGTCCGAACAAGCAGCCCCCAAACAAAATCCCTGGGAACCAAGGCTCTAATGATTGTCTCTGATAAATGGCGTTTTACACATGTCACTTCTGGGAGAATGAACTGTGCCCTGACTGTCTTGGGGGGACAACTCTTCAAAGTTGTGTCTGGTTCTATCTGGACTCTGTCCCTGTGTCCTTCCTTGTGCCCATTTTACTTATCCTGACTCAACATCACAAAGATGGGTACATGCTGGGTCCTTCTAGCTGACCCCAGTCCAGTGGGCTCTGGAAGTGGTCTCTGGATTTCTGAGTCACATGTGTAGCTTTCAAAAAAGGAAGCAAAGGAGCAAAAAACACTGTCAGAAAAAGTACAGCAGAAAGGGTGGCTTAGAGGCAAAGAATTGCACTGTCAATGCATAGACAGGTGGTTCGAACCCACCAGCTGCTTCTGGGCAATTGCTTTGTGTGCAATCTGTGTTTGTTAGGTGTCATCGAGTCAAATATGACCCTATGTATAACAGATCTGAACCGTGTCCTACCCTGTGCCATCCTCACACTTCCTGACATACTTGAACTCACTGGAGCAGTCACTGTCAGTCCATCTGACTAAGAATCTTCCTTTCCTTTACTGCCCTTCCTCCTTTCCAAGTATGAGGTCTTTCACCAAGGAATACCCTCTCCCAGACACATGCTCAAAGTATGTGTGAGATGACAGTTTATCATCTTTGCCTCCAAGGAGCACTCTGGCTGCACTTTCACCAAGACATATTTGTTTGTTCTTTTGGCAGTCCATGCGATGTTCAATACTTTTTTCCAACATCACAGTTCAAAGTCATTGATTCTTTTGCCATTATCCTTATTCATGTCCAGCACATAGCAAGCGATCAGAAAGACCAGGGCCTGAATCAGGCCCACTTTAGACCTCACACTAATATTCTGACATAATTGTTCCTCAACAATCATTGCTCCCCAATAATTTGAAGGGGTTCCTGACTGCTTACTTTCCCAGGGTAATATGACTCCTGACGCAACCGTCATGCAATTTATAAACTCTGAAAATCTCCTGGAAAGTCAGCTATGGGTTGGCTCTAGCCCAATGGTACATAACCACAACAACAGAACAAATAACTTTATTTTTTATATTTATCCTCTCTTTTTCTATTTTCCCCTTTCTGTGTTCACCTTTGTCATCAGTTCTTTATTCAAGACTGAGTCATAATAGAGGTTCCTTGGTGGTGCAGGAAGCTCTATTTAATGCACTCAACTACTAACCAAAAGGTTAGAGGTTTGAAGCCATCCACAGATGCCTCAGAAGACAGGCCTTAGCCACTCACTTCCAAAAATTAGGCATTAAAACTCTACAGAGAACAGTTTGACTCTGAGACACACAGGCTGCTGTAAGTTGAAATAAACTTAAGAGGAACCGGTGGTTGACTTGAGAGGGAATATCTTCATTCAGGGCCATTTCCGCCTGGTTGGCTAGACTCACTCATCTCTGGCAGCATGGCCATGACCTACAGCTGAGAACCTCAAGACACAAGTCAATGTTTCACCAGGCAAGGAAGACAGGTCCAAAATCAGAACCCATTCCAGACCAGCCCCAAACTTTAATTCCAGCCAGGAGGAAGGGAACTTGTTAACATCTCTGAGTTCCATCTTTAAGAGATGCAACTTAGACATGACTATGTATGTCATCAGCAATTGTTACTGAAGATGACTTGAAATTGGGCTTGGCATTGGGTAAAGGTTGAATAAACACTCTGGCAGTGATGTCTCTCTAGGTTTACCAATTCCTCTCCAAACCATCATCCAAAAATATCACAAACAAGAGAAAAGAAAATTTTGTCTTCTCTGTTGAACCGAGAGAAACAATGGAAGTTATGCATTTCAGGACTTTTGTTCATAGGGTCGCTATGACTCATGTACGACTCGATGGCACCTAACAACAACAACAACAACAACAAAATAATGTGAGATAAATGATTTGTGCACAATCAGCATTGGTTGAATCAACGATGATGTAGGAGAATCACTTCCCTGCTCGTGTTTCTCGTACCTGACTGATGAACCCACTGTGCCCTGAATTTTGTTCTGCAAGGACAACACCTCTGTGTCACGTGTACATGCCTCTTTGAGTATCCACCTTTCTCTACCTTTCTGTAAATCTGGTTAGAGAGAAATCTCTTCTTGACTCAGGCATCCAAGCTACCATCTCCTCACTCACTCCTGAACCTCCACTGCACTTCATCTCCAATGTTCCATAGCCTTTTATTTCCTTGTAGCACACTGCACATGATGAGCCAAGCTGCCAGGAAGCCCATCCAGGTGAACAGCGTGCTGGAGTGTGCGAGACTTCTTCTCTTTAGGGAGTCTATTGTTTGAGAATGTGGCCTGGACCTGAGTTATGGAAACATCCAGTGCTGCCTGCTTCCAACTTAAAAGAAATAATTGCATAGAATTGGAAATCTTGTATGCACCCAACAATGCCGATAGTATCAAACTCTCACAAAGATCCCTCAAATAAAGTATGCTCTTCTGCGGTTTACCTATGAGATGCCTGAAGGTTGGAGAATTTAGGCAACTGACTGGCTCAAGGACTCAAAGTAGCAACATCTACAGCTGGGATATGAATGCGAGGAACTTTTTCTTAAACGGAACATTTTGCCTCTTCTGTAGAGAAACTGGAAGTAACAGGAAATGAGGAGATGTGTGTGTATGATAGGGGCACACATGAGAATAGATACTGGAGTATGTAGTGCTTGTCCCATATATACAGAGTCACTAAAAAAATAAAGTCCTCTCTAACACGGGATATGGTATTATGTTTCTCAAGTTCACACAGCTGGCTTAGATGAACAACCTATCTTTGTTTCTGGAATTGTGGACAACGTTCATAAAGTGAAGTAAGAACTACCCAGCAGGCTTAATCCTCCAGGGTGCCACTCACACTCTAGAAACCAAGAACATGTCAGAATGAACCACAAAGAAGGAAAGGAGGTGGGGCCATGCAAATATTTCTTGTGGGAAAAGTCATGTTAACCCATTTTCCAGATGGGACAACAGAGGCTCAGGCCAAAGCAACTTGTCAGGGCATAAAAAAATGTTAGTGCTTGGGTGAGACTTACATCCAGGACTGACACAAATCTCCCAGCGGGTCCCAGGCACTGGGCTTCGAGGAGGATGCTGTTGGGGTGACCCAGCCTTGAGACTTGGGTCCCTGATGTCCTTACCTCGCACTTCTCCACCACCGGCTGCTGCCCACACTCAGAGCTGTTGCCCGCCACGATGCCAGCGCGCAGGTTCTCGCTGTCCCCGGTGCCCTCCTCCATGGAGTAGGTCTTGGAATGGTTCCCGCGCCGGTGGGCAGGGGCCCGGCCCTGGGCCAGGCTGAGCTGCCGGCGCAGTGCCCGGTTCTCCTCCTCCACCTCGCGCATGCGCACCTCCAGGCTCTCGCGCTCCCGCTGGCTGGAGGCTGTGTACCTGGGGCTGTGTGGCTGGGACTCCAGTGGGGACAGGGACACGGGCTTGCCATCTGGGGAGACAGAAGGTGCAGGGCAGGGTTAACCCAGAAAGGAAAACAACAACAACAAAAAAGCATGCTCCATGTACCCCAGGCGCTCATGACTACACAAGCGAAACTCCTTTCACATTTCCATTTTTAAGGGAAAGCAGATGGAAAGTGAGTTACAAATAAACACATCCAGATTGAACTGGGAACAAAGTTAGGCACAGAATGACTTACTATGGTGATAAAAATTAATATGCTGTTAAAAGAAGACAATCAACATATAATTTTTCCTAATTGAATGTACTGTCTTCCTATCTCTGTTTAGAGCAATTCTAAGTAGATGTTCTAACCAAGAAAGCATTGTGACTAAGACAGAGAAAGGGGTTTAGGAGATGAACAGGGAGAAGAGGAAGTAAAAGAAGAAATAAGAAAGTAAAGAAATGCAAAAGACTTAGCTTACTGAATTCTTTCTGACTGAACTCCTATTCATCCATCAAAACCCTCTTTGGAAAGACCAACAAACAAAACCCCTGTTTGGAGAACATTATTTCCAAGGGGAATCCTTCCACACTCCTAGTAAAAATATCCTTCAGCATAAACCAAAAAATATTTCTTTATCCCACAGCCATCAAGTCTTTTGACATTTCTGGCAACTTTTAATATTTTCTCCATTTATCATGATATGGCTGACTGGTACAGTAGTGGGGATTTTTATTTTCTTTATGTTGAGGTGTAATATATTCTGAAGATAACAGTCACTATATTTCTTAAATATTTGTGTCGCTGCATCCTATAAAGATTGTAAGTCCAGAGAAGACAAAGTCTGGATCTTAGTTTTTTTAATTTTTTGGTATCATTAAGTATGATGAGAGACACACAAGTATTGAGGACTCTCCTTCATAGGGTCTCTATGAGTCACCTGCAACTCAACGTCACTTAACAACAATAACATCAATATAGGGCCCAGTGGACTGAAAGCGATGCAACCAAGCCAAAGGTGGGTGACTTCTAATCCATGATCCTCAGGCCTGTCCCTCATTGTTTTTGTTCAAACATTCCTCTAGGTCGTTTAGCCCTGGTGTGTTCACTTGCCGTACAGAGGTAACTTGTGGTTGCTGTGAGGCTGAACACCATGACACAGATGTGTCAAAGGTTGGCTACCCATGGTGGACAGTGCTGGGTGAAACTCCCCGATTAAAACAAGTTTGGAAGCAGGAGTGGCAACCACTTTAATAATAGCTTGCCTCCAGAAACCCTATGAACCTGGAGAGAGGATGACAGACACACAAGTGTTAAGGACTCTCCTTCTTAGGGTCGCTATGAGTCACCTGCGACCTGATGGCACTTAACAACAACAAGTAACACCCGAAAAACACCCAGAACCCACTGACATCAAATCAACTCCAATACATGGTTCCCTCATTAGATTTTGGAGGCTGTAAATCTTTATGGGAGGAGACTGCCTAACTTCCTTTCATGAAGCAGCTAATGAATTTGAAAGGCTGCCTTTTCAGTTTACAAAACAACACACAACTATGCCACTCAAGTTCTTGAATGTATTCTAATGGCTGATAAAATGCTGGGAAGGTAGATGCATGAATCCATGCCAAGAATAAAAGAATACACGCACCAATGAAGAAAAAAGGTAGTGTGACCAATTTGAAAGTTTTCCTAGAAAAGTAACTATCAATCCACTGATGGCAGGGAATACCCTATTTACCAATCCCACTGTACTATAGTAAATAATGAAGAGTACACAGAGGGTAAGGGAGTCTTTCAAAGATCCGTAACCAGAGTGTGTGGTAGGAGAATGCACACCATGGTCTGTCTTACACCCACGTCCTTACACTTTTCACTGCACTGTACTTTCATAATAGGTGAAACAGAGAAGCTAACATATGCTTAAAAAGGAATCATTTCAAAGTTCTAGTTTCCCCAGTTGCTTAGCATTGGGCTCAGGATACAGTAAGCCTTCAGTGCATGTTTTACAATTGAGTCTCTAACAGCACTGATGTTGTTATTTGCCTATAAATCAAAACTGACTCATAACTGACCCTCCAATGGGTTTACAGAGACCACAAATCACAAGAGAGGAAACTGCCCATCTTTACCCCGAGGAGTCAATAGTGGCCTTGAACTGCCTGCCTTGGGTTAGCAGCATAACTCCTCACCACTAGGCCATCAGAATTCCCTTCTAACAGTGTTGTTGGTCTTGCTTTGTGCCATCAAGTGGAGACCAACTGAAGTTGGCCCTTCAGTGGATTTTCACAGGAGAGGAGACTGCCTTTCTTTCTCCCATGGAGCAGCTGGTGGATTCAAACCACGTGCCTTTCAGTGGGTCCAGCAGTTCCTCACCCACTAGGCCATCAGAGCTTCCTAATAGCACCCAGCCTAACAGCATTAGACATTCAAACCTTTCACTTCTCAGCTGCAACTCCGCAGAAATCCCAGGATTCAGAGACAAGCAACATAGTCAGATGCAGAAATTACCAAGCCAAAAAAGAAAAGAAAAAAAAAATTCATCTCTCTAAAAAGTTACCCTTCAGCCTCCTGTTAAAAAAGAAAGAAAGAAAGAAATCCCTCCTCCTTTTCCATTTTTCCACACTCAGAGTTTTTTCTCCTTCCTCCCTAAATGCCACTGAGCTTCCAAACTGTCCCAGGGAGTCTCTATGACTCACAAAACTTCAGGATCAAAGACCGTGCTGAATAACACTCTGAAGGTTTCACCTTGTGCGGTGGTACTGAGCCCAGCTCTTCCCAGGGCTTTTTGATGTATCTCTGGGCCTGAACAAATAGGACTCCTTTTAATTCCCCTCTCTTAATCACCTCGGGGTCAACTGCCAGAGCTCCTGGTCCTCTTCTATCAATGCAACAAATATGACTCACTAAATTCCACTGCCTGGGCCACAGATGAAAGGGAAAGGCAGAGTCTGAGGGGACGTGAGCTCATCACTTGATTAAGGCGGCATTGTCACCCCCATCGCCAATTAAAGGCTCCCACCCAGGCTTTTGAAAACTGCCCCCTTTTTGGTAAAACCAAACTGCTTCCACTGAGCATGAAAAAGGCAGCTACTATCAATTGTGTTCTTGAAACTTAGACCCACACTCGGAGCAGGTGGGATGAGAGGGGTCCCCCATTTCCACAGAGGGTCAAAGTGACTCTCCCATAGTGCTTTCATGTATCTGCACCAGGCTAAGGAGTCTTCTAGACTGTTCTTAAGTCACTCTTGGATGGTGTGCGGGGAAAGACACAGGGACCAAGAAGGAGAGGAAGACCCTCAGTGAGGTGGACCGGCACAGACTCTAACATTGAGCATTGGCTGAGTTGGTGAAGATAGCACAGGATAAGGCAAGATTCAGGTCTGTCATTCATCGAGTCAGTAAGAGTCATAGTCAACAAGAAGGCACCTAACAGCAACAGTCATAATATAAGAAGATGGTGATGAGTTATCCTGTTAGAGATGAGAGAACTGAGACTCTAAAGACAAGGATAGTGAAGCAGGATTAGGTATAAGGTCTACTTAACTTTGTACTCTGTCATATTCCTGCGTTTATGCACTGCATTGAATGTGCAAATATCCTGGGGTCTGAGAAGTCGTCTCCTCAGGGAAGGATCTGGAACCATTTGGTACAGACATCCAAGAAGCTCCTGGAAAATACACTAGTCCCAGGGCTTGAGGAAAAGTTAACGAGTGATATCTAAGTTTGTTCCTTGAAGGAGACATCTAACCCTGAGCCTCAGTTTTCTCTTCTATGAAATGGGGACACAAATGCTAACTTAGCAAGGCTGATAAGAGGTCTAAGTAAGATACTGAAATAAAAGTCGGAAGTAGTAAATGAGTTCCTACCCCCACTCTTGATAGCTCTAATGGATATAACAGCTAAGACCACCTGATGATATAACCAAATTGATGCTACAACTTTTCTGAAGACTGAGCTATTTTCTAAGTGTTCTATGAAAGCATGTGGTCAAAAAACCTTCTTGTTTCACTCTACAATGAAGCATCTCTGAACCATGACTCCCTCAGCCAGGTAATGTTCTAGGTCAAGTTCCATCCAGAGGCAAAGAAAAGGAGCAGGGATCCTCTCTGTATTTTTCTATGTAAAATGAAAAAGGGTACAGGAACACACACAAATGTCAAGCAAAACTAGACCCATCATCATCAACTCAACTCCAACTCAAAGGAGTCTCATGCATCTCTGTAAGATTTTCTTAGCTGAGAGTTTCAGAGACTTGGATTGCCAGTTCTTTCTTCTATGTCACTGTTGAGTGGCTTTGGACTATAAACACTTAGGTGAATTGTTTAGTTCAATTCATTTGTACCATCCAGTAACCTTTGCAAATAGATGTTATTATGTGCTCTTGAGTCAACTATGTTACTGTTGTTGTTGTTATGTGGTGTCCAGCTGCTTGCAACTCATAGCGACCCTATGTACAACAGCCCTAAACTCTGCTCTGTCCTGTGCCAATCGCACTGTCTCCAATACACCCATCCCGATTACCCCAGTCACTGAATCAATTCACCTCAAAGGGGGCCTTCCCCTCCTGCGCCATCCCTCCAGCCTTCCAAGCATGATGTCCCTCTCTAAGGACAGGTTCCTCCTTGCAACATGTCCAAAGTATGTTAGACGGAGTCTTAGAATCCTTGCCTCCAAGGAGCTGCCCAGTTTGACCCTTTCCAGGATGAATCTATTTGTTTTCCTAGCAGTCCATGGTACCCTCAATACTATTCTCCAGCACCACAGCTCAAAGGCATCAATTTTCCTTCTATCCTCCTTAGTCACTGTCCAGATCTCTGATGCATAACAAGTGATAGCAAAGACCATGGCCTTCAGATATAAGCTGTCAGATCAAAAGGGGGGACAATGGGAGATAGATGTCGAAGGGAGTGGGTAGAAGTGGATGGGTATCTTGCCTGGTTCATGGTGGAACAGGGAAATAAGTGGGTAAAGACACCTGGGCCAAGGAGAGGGACAACACTGATATGAATGGTTAACTCCACAACAGGGAATATATCTTTCAC